GGCAGTGTCACTGGCCCTCATATGTGGGATCCGAACCAGGGCCCTCTGGCGTCCCAAGCCAGCTCTTAACCATCGCGCCACTCGGCCAGCCCTAAAAACAATTTTTAAGGAATAACAAGTCTAGAGAAGTCATTCTTCCCTTTCACTGACAAGGGAAAGTTATTTCTTTCATTGTATGTTCCCTGATAAGGCTTTCTTCTTTTAGGAATAATGACTAGGGCAAATGTTAGACTGAGATTAAAAGCAACATTGGGTGTCTTGTATGCTACAACAACACAATCTAGTATTTGCCAAGTCCTTTCTGTGTGCTAGGCCTGTGCTAAGTGCTTTACATACATTATCTCATTTAACTCTCACAATAATCCAACGAGGTACCTACCCTTATTATCATTTTACAGATGAGGAAACCGATACAGAGGTTAATGCCCAATATTATGGGACTGGGCCAGAAACTGAACCTAGACAATCTGTCTCTGGAGATGATAAAGTCTATTATGCGGATAAAGTATGAAGATGGGAGATGAAGCAAGGTTAGCAGACAGTAGAGAGAGGAAGGTTAATAAAGCAAAAAGACTCAGAGTCAAGACAGCTGAGACAGGACGCACTGTATTATTTTCCACAGGAGGCTTCCTTTCTGCTTTCTCTTTTACGCTACCATGCTCCTCATATTTAAGATATTCATTGCTGGTGGCTTCGTTGCTCAGGCCTGAGGCTAATGCTGAAATTAAGACGCTAAATTACCTGATGAAAAGGAGCTGGGCAAACCCGAGGTAACCACGGTGACCGCGGCGTGGCGAGAACGTTGCGCAGGCGCGTTACATGCCAGGCCCGTCTGCCAGTTCCTCCTCTCAGCCTCGGGCTCCACCAGCTCGTGGGGAGTACGGGTGCGGGCCACGGGTGTGGGCCGGGGCCGGGGCCGGGGCCGGGCCGGGGGTGGGAGCGGGAGGGAAGCCGGACACTGCGCTTGCGCAGTCGGCGGGGCGCTGGTGTGCTCGAGCTCACGTAGCGAGGGCTGCAGTCGCCTCCTACCCAGCGTTGCCGTAGCGGCCTAGAGGTTATAAAAGGGCTAACTGGCTCCCTCTGCTGCCCAGTCGCGCCGCCAGCGGGCTGAGGGAAGGGAGTAGGTAACCGCCGGTGTGCAGGCAACCGAAGACTGAAGAGCGCGCTCCCGTTTCACTTCCCAGGTGAGACGCCTCCCCGACCTTGGGGACTGAGGCTGAGGCCCTTGGGCAGCCGTGGTCCTTCTCAGATGGCTCTGGTGGTCCGGTACCTGCCCCCTCTGATGGGATGGCTTGGGGGCAGGGGTTCTCCAGTCTACCACCGCAGCCTCAGGATCTTCTCTGGACGCTCAGCCCCTCGCCCTGCGACCCCTGGCCGCCCCAAAGGCCCCTCTGCCCTTCCCCATGTTACCCTTCTCACCTCCTCCCTGGTGGGCGCCCCCGGCCGTTTGGGCTGCGGCAGCCTCTGTCCCCGCCCCGGGGACCAGCACTTTCTTGAATATTCTTTGCCGGGGTGGAATCACCCTGTTGATTTTTCCGAACTCCTCTCATACCTGGTCCTCCCTGCAAAGCTGATGGGAAAACGAGAGCGGGGTGTGGGTTTTTGTCCTCCACGGTAGCAGATGGTTAGAATGTGGCACGGGAGAGGAATTTTAAAGCTCAGTTGAAACTCTCCAGGCATTTTTACCCAGTCGAAAATTCGTCGGGTCTGGGAAGTGGACCTTCCCAGAGAAGTTCAGGCTTCACCCATCTGTTGCGCGCAGCGGTGCTGCTTAAGCAGCTAGAAGTAGCTCCGGGCGGCGAGTTTCGGGGCTGTTTGGTTGAGGAAGTTGGCTGTCAGATCACCCAGTCAGTCGCCGTGCAAGTTAGTCTTCCTTCCTTCCTTCCTTCTTCCACGTAAAGTTTTTAAAGGCACATGAGCTTCTCCCTCTCCCCGCTCTTTCTCTCGAGTTTTCTACTTTTAAAGTCCCCATCAGTAAAATGATTTCCACGGTTGTGTGAGAATTTTGAGTTCATGAATGGCCTCAGACCTAGGTCCTAAGGGGGAAGAAGAAATATGAGACGGTTTTCCTAAATAATTGAATGTATTAAATACAGTTCAGTTTTTACACACTAAGCATCTTATGCGTCCCCGATAGAGTGGAGAAGACTCTTGGAAGTTTTGCACTGTTTGCTTTAAGGAAGGGATGGAAAAGAAGCTAGATCTCCTTTTAGGAATTGATCTAAAAGGCTAAAGAGGCTTGTCAATTTCAGTTTAACTGTTTCTGGTTTCTCCGAGGGCTGTGGCTCTTGGACTTTCTCTTGGAATGCACTTTAAAGGGATGAAGTAGCCACTTCGTGAGTGGGGGAGGGGAAAAGACGTGGCAGAACTGTTCTTTCATCAACTTTTTCGCTCTTTTTTTTTTTTTTTAAAGGCTCTGGGCAGAAGCGTATTTCCCCTTTTAGGTTTAGACGTAGCTTATGAATGAGGCTAGTCTTTTCCTAAAATAATCAAATGAAATATTCAGTCCGCAGAGCAGGAACACTGGAATTTAATTTATATAACATTTCAAAGGGATTTTTCTGATCTAGTTTCAATGGAGAAAATGGATACCTTAAGCAGAAAATATGCAAGAATTTGAAAGTGAACAACCATAAATACATTTGGCCTTGATTTGAAATTTAAATAGACATTCCGTGATTTTTCTTTAACTTTGCTTTTAGCCGGTGCGTTTGATTTCAGAATCTTAAATATTAGCTTCAAATTTTAACTTTTTCTGTGGGAAGCATGGGTTTTATCACTTATCTTTAAAAAGTATGTCAGTTTTGGTTTTGGAACATTATGCCCTGAGTCCTGCTTATTTTAGATAGCTGATGGCAAATGCTTCTTATAGATTTAACATAGACTAACTAGGAAAAGGACTACTTTGTTTTTCTGTATATGGGTAATACTGTTTCCTTTGGCATCTTAAAATGAGTTTTATTTTGAAATACTGAAAACCAGGGCTTTGGTAAGCAGATAATTACATTGGCCATTTTGTGTCTTGGTAACTAAGGTAGTAAAATAGATGAAAAAATTGTTTACAACTTTTAATTATTGCAGAAAAATTTAGGCAATGCAAAAGGATATTGAAAAAGTTTATATCACTTAGGTAGTCCAGGTTGTTGCAGGTGAATCTTGGCCTTTCGGTAAGGAGATGTTAACCTTTTCTAATACTGCAGAGTGGGTTGTATGCTGACAAGCAGTATCTTTCATAGGGCAGTTAAGTTCAAACTCCTGCTTTTATTCCAGGGCTTGCCGCAGGAGTTGTTCCGGGGATGCAGCCATAAAGCTTGTGAGCCTTTATTTCTGTTCATGGAAAGCCTTATTTTACTTAGGCTTAGTTGATTTTAATAATCAACTGGGATATAATTGCTGCTCTTAGATTTGAAAAGTGTACCCTCTGAGAAAAGAGGCAGTTCTCAACCTCTTTTGAGGTCATGAAATCCATTGAGAATCTGATAGAAGGTGTGGATCTTGGGTCAGAAGTTGGGAAGTACGTACACACACCTGCATGGAATTCTATGTACCTTTTATAGATAATCTCCCCCTGCTTTGAAGCACATCTATAAACTTTATTGTAAGAACTAAAAAATAAAAGATATGAAGTTAATCTTTAAGGATAGCTAGGTATCTATCTTGAGGCAGTATTTCTTGAATATTTCTGAAAATTGAGTTGGGGTTGTAAGTCTGACTGGACTTGAGTATACAGATGATCCTAATAAACTTTGCTAAAAGGGTTTTAACAAAAGTTAATAGGTTGGAAGGAGAACTGTTGAACTGCCAAATTGTCTACACAATCATATGTAATATTGGCCTTTTCTCCCTCACCCGGTCCCTCACATATAATATGTCTTTGGTTCTACACTGAAAGTGGAAAATGCTTGAAGGTAAACAAAAATAAATTTCATAGGCCCTCAGTGTTAAGCTTTATTGCTCTTCTTAGAGTGAGATCTTGAATCTTATAATTAAATCATAATGGGGTGTGGGTATATGAGTGTATATGAATATATGAGACAAGCCAATGACGTGTGTATGTATATTTGTAAAACTAGTTAAAGCTTTATTTCTGTTTCTACTCAGTGAAATTTATTTGTGTAATTTGAAGCTATCCTCTCAATGATTTTTCACTAGCCAAATATTGTGTGCCTTAATAAAAACCAGTAAAACTCAGACTTTATTAAGACTACTCCAGCAGTTTTTGAACTTGATATAATGAAAAACACTCCTTTTCCTGATACTTCTGTGAATGATCAGTGTGGCTATTAGTATATTTGGTTGGGCACTGGCAAAAAATACAGTGTGGAGAGATTCATGCTTCTAACATAGTTGCATCAGTGAAAGAGTGCTATCTTGGACTTCTTTCTCTTTCTGCTTAGTGTCTCATATAAATATGTCCATGTTTTGGTGGTTTACATATTTTTAATTTAAATAGTAGTATTATAATATAGGAAATTAATATACTCAGCCTTTCTTGTTGGGCATTTGAGCTGCTTCTCTATTATAAATAGTGCAAAGAAAAGGCTGTAATTTAGTGGTTTATTTTGTCCACCTGTATAGCTACAGTAAACTTTAACCAGTTTTCTTTCTATCTGCATTTTGTTTTAGGAAAAGAAACACATGACAATAAAATTTTATATCAGTAATTTTTTTTTCCCCCCTAAAAGAATTTTCTAGGGTGATTCGACTGGGCTCTAAAAAAGATGTTTTAATCTACTTGATAACTAAAATACTTTATAATTTAAAAAGTGTTGTTTTATATGTTATATAGTTTGATTCTTAAAATAATTTTGTGAGGTGGTGTTATATCATTCCCATTTTACAAATGTAGAGTTAATAGGTTGTGGCTCAGAGAAATCAAGTAATTTGCCCAAGAATACAGCAGGTGGCAGAACTAGGACTTGGACCCAGGTTGTCTGTTTTCTGATTTACACTTCATCCTTGATAATAGGTCAGACTGACTCAGAGGTAATGGAAGGAAAAAATCAATTTAGTAGCATATTAACAATGTATTATAAATGTTTTCAACATCTAGAGTTGAAATGAAATAGGGTTACTGGTTGGTTGTAATTAACTCACTCATTCCACTCAATTAAAATTTAAAAGCATTTATGATGTGCCCAGTAGACTATGGGAGAATCAAAAGACTGATAAGAAATGTTTCACAGGAGAAATCGGACATGAGAGTTACCCGGTATGCAAGCACGTTATTAACATTTTACTTGATATTAAATCTGAATAAGTAAGTGCTGAATGAAAACTCATATCTAGATTCACATCCTCTGCGTTTTCTCCTATTCTAGTATATGTGGCTTTATTTTGCATATGTTTTCCTCAGCTTGATGACTTTGGATCTGGCATTAGGAAAAAAGAAGGAATTAAGATTGGAAAGAGAAAAGGGCAACTAGGGTAAAGGTGTACTCCTTGTGATCATTAAGTATTTATTGAGCATCTGTTATTATGTACTGAACTCTGTGCTGGAAGAATCATCATTTCATTTTTGAAATAACATACAGTTACATTAATTTATGTTTAATTATTTGAAAGCACTTACTAAATATTAATTAACTGGTTTTAAGTAGTTATGAATGTAATGAAGTTAATTAAGTAGTAATGAAGACTTGTCTTACATTCTAATCGTTGATTAACTGTATTTACATATCTAATTCCTTAAATGATCAATAAGTGTTTATTTTAGTGTTTCTAAAACCTAATTGTTGAATTTAGTACCTCAGCGTATTAATTGCTGTGTACATATGGCCTTTATTCTTGCCCCCTTGTTCCAATAATCTCCCCCTTTTTTTTAACCCAGGCAAGATTTTATATCATATTCATAAGTTACATGCAGATGTTCTCAAATTTACATGCTCAAATTTACCAATCTTTTAACCTAAAGATATTTTGAGAATAGATTTCAATTTACAATGTTTGAATAAAAAATTTTAAATAGTGATGTTATTTGAAAATAGTGAACAGTGATCATAGCTCCCAAGTGATTGTTTTATAAGTAAATAAGACTCCAATGTATGACATACTTATGATTACTAATAAAGTAATTGATTTAATAACTTTATTGAGGTATAATGACATGTAATTAATTGCACATATTTACAGTGTACAATAGATGTTTTGACAAAAGTATATACCAACGAAATTGTCAACACAC